CATTGTTGTTTGGCGGGTCCGGGCTGGGGATTCGAACCCGCCACCTTAGGTGTACGTGGCTGGCGCCTTAGCCGGTTGAGCTATAGGCGCCGAGCCTCCCTTTTCTACTTTTAAGCTTGGGTTTTTACTAGTATTGTGTTACTGTGTTTTCTTTTCTTTTTTTTTGAGACAGAGGCTCAAGCTGTCGCCCTGGGTAAAGTGCTGTGGCATCACAACTCACAGCAACCTCCAACTCCTGTGCTCTCCAGGAGCAATTCTCCTGCCTCTGCCTCCCCAATAGCTGGGACTACAGGTGCCTGCCACAATGCCCAGCTATTTTTTGGTTGTAGCAATCATTGTTGTTTGGTGGGCTGCTGCGAATCCCAGGCTGTATTTGAACCCGCCAGCTCAGGTATATATGGCTGGCAGCTTAGCTGCTTGAGCCACAGGCACCGAGCTGTATTGTGTTTTCTTATGCTTTGCTGAGTTCTCTGTCTTATTCCAGACATGCTGGTGTCTACACAGCAGAAGAAGTGGCTCTGATTATGCGTGAGAAACTAATTCGTTTGCAGTCTTTGTACATTGATCAGTTTAAACGACTTCAGCATTTGCTCAAGGAGAAGAAGCGCCGGTACTTACATAACCGCAAAATGGAACATGAAGCTCTAGGCAAGTTATGTGCCAGTTCCAATAAGCTATTATGGGTTTAACATGTGATTTTGGTGGTACAGTCATGCATTGCTTAAAGACAGATATGTGTATTACTATATGATTTTGTTATTGTTTATACTTCGTAGGGTTTACTAGCACAAATGTAGATGGTATGACATACTATATGCCTAGGTTATATGGGATAGCATGTTGCTTTTAGGCTACAAACCTGTACAGCATGTTATCATACTGAATGCTGTGGGAATTATAATACAGTGGTAATTATTTGTATGTGTAAACATAGAAAAGGTTCAGTTGAAATGTGATATAGGGTGGGGCCGATGGCTCAGTGAGTAGGGCGCCAGCCCCATATATCAAAGGTGGCAGGTTCAAACTCGGCCATGGCCAAACTGCAACAACAACAAAAATAGCCGGGTGTTGTGGTGGGTGCCTGTAGTCCCAGCTACTCATGAGGCTGTGGCAAGAGAATCAGCTAAGCCTAAGAGCTGGAGGTTGCTGTGAGCTGTGTGATGCCAGGGCACTCTGCTGAAGGTGACAAAATTGGGACTCTGTCTCTAAAAAAAAAAAAAAAAAAAAAAATGAAAAAACAGGAATGTGATATAAAGGGTAAAACCCAGTGGTAACACCTGTATAGGGGCAGTTATATGAAGGGACCTTATAGGACTAGAAGTTGCTCTGAATTGGTCAATTGAGTGGGGAATGAATGTGAAGGCCTATAATGTTACTACTGTATCCTATTATAGACTTTATATACACTATACATTTAGGCTAGACTAAATTTATTTTATTTTATTTATTTATTTTTTTGAGACAGAGCCTCAAGCTGTCCCCCTGGGTAGAGTGCTATGGCTTCACTGCTCACAGCAACCTCCAACTCCTGGGCTCAAGCGAGTCTCCTGCCTCCGCCTCCCAAGTAGCTGGGACCACAGGTGCCCGCCACACGCTTGGCTATTTTTTGGTTGCAGCCATCTTTGTTGTTTGGCGGGCCCAGGCTTGATTTGAACCCGTCAGCTCAGGTGTACGTGGCTGGCGCCTTAGCCGCTTGAGCCACAGGCGCCGAGCCAACTAAATTTATTTAAAAATAATTTTTTCTTCCATAATAAATTTAGTTTACTGTAACTTTACAAACTTTAAAGTTTTTTTAACTTCTTCACTCTTGACTTTTGTAACAACACTTAGCTTAAAACACATAATACAGCTTTACAAAAATATTCTTATGTCCTGAATCTGTAAGCTGTTTTTTCTCTTTAAATTTTTTTTATATTTGTTTTTTACTTTTTAAACTTTTTTTTATTAAAAACTAAGGCACGGGCAGCACCTGTGGCTCAGTGGGTAGGGCGCTGGCCCCGTATACCGAGGGTGACAAGTTTAAACCCAACCCCTGCCAAACTGCAACAAAAAAATAGCCAGGTGTTATGGCAGGAGCCTATAGACACAGCTACTCAGGAGGCTGAGGCAAGAGAATCGCCTAGACCCAGGAGTTGGAGGTTGCTGTGAGCTGTGTGACGCCACGGCACTCTATGGAGGATGATAAAGTGAGACTCTTGTCTCTACAAAGAGAAAAAAAAAAAAAACAACTAAGACACAAGGCCGGGGGGCGTTGGCTCATGTCTGTAATCCTAGCACTCTGGGAGGCTAGGGTGGGTGGATTGCTTGAGCTCAGGAATTCGAGACCAAGGGCGAGACCTCGTCTCTCAAATACAGCCAAGCATTGTGGTAGGTGCCTGTAGTACTAGCTACTTGGGAAGCTGAGGCAAGAGGAGTGTTTGAGCCCAAGAGTTTGAGGTTGCTGTGAGCTATGATGCCATCGCACTCTACTGAGGGCAAGAAACTGAGACTTTATTTAAAAAAAAAAAACCACACAAACATACACATTAGCCTAGGCCTACACAGAGTCGGGATCATCAATATCATTGTCTTCCACCTCAACATCTTGCCTTACTGGATGGCCTTCAGGAACAATAATGCATACAGCTGTCATTTCCTAGGATATCCATGCCTTCTTCTGGAACACCACCTGAAGGAACTGCCTGAGGCTCTTTTATAGTTAATTTTTTTTTTTTTTTTTTGAGACAGTGTTATTATGTTGCCCTCGGTTTAGTGCCCTGGAGTCACAGCTCACAGCAACCTGAATCTCTTGGGCTTAATTGATTCTCTTCCCTCAGCCTCCCAAGTAGCTGGGACCACAGGTGCCTGCCATAACACCTGGCTATTTTTTTGTTGTAGTTATTGTTTTAGCAGGCCTGGGTGGGGTTTGAACCCACCAGCCCTGGTGTATGTATCCGGTGCCTAAACACTGAGTTACTGGTGCCAAACCTATAGTCAACTTTTTTTAGTAAGTAAGACTAACACACTCTTTTTTTTTTTTTTTTTTTTT